TTCATGTATGTTTGAATGGAGAAGTCCCTAAGAGGAAAAAATGAAATTTTTGTTGTTTAAAATGTTTATAAACTCATAAGTATATGTGTGTAAAGATGACCACTTGGGATTGGATACATTAGAGTTCTCATCCCTAGAGAAGACTGATTCTCTTCCTCTTAACGGTCAATAGTTGCCTGTAGCTCTTCACCTAGGGGGACTCAATGCACTCGGCAGATTGTACTTATACATACATGTGTGTGTGTGTGTGTGTGTGTGTGTAACAATAATAATAATAATAAAAGAAAACATCATGAATTTGACAGGGACACACAGGAGGAACTGGAGTGGGGAGAGAGTTGCTTAGAAATGTCATAAATACAGTATTCGAGTGTGAAATTCTCAAAAAATGTTTCAAATAAAATGACAAAAAGCTTATAAACTTTTGTCTTATTTTAAATATGAATGAATATTATAAGAAAAGAGAAACACATAAATGTTTGTTTACATAAAAACTAAAATGTTACAGCCTCTGTGACTTCCAAACCAGAAAAATAATTAAAATGTGTTTGTATCAAAGGATATTTATTTCCTGTGTGGCTCAGAACAAGCAGCAACAGTTGAGTATACCAAGACAGTAAGAAGATAATATACTTAATCAAATATATTTGTATTACATTAATCTATTTAATTATATTAATTAATTATATTATAGTCAACATATGTAATCAAAATATACAGAATTTCTCGGGATGCACTTTGGAAGGGCCAGGAAGGGCTCTCCAAATCTTTCTGAATGAGGGTGCTTCTAGGGTTACTTGCCTGTTTCATATGTCTATCTATTTTCTTAATTTATTTGCTTTTATTTTAATGTGTGTTGGCTTGCACGTCAGCATGTGCACTGTGTGCATGCCTGGTGCCCACAGAGGCAGAAGAGGGCTTTGGATCATCTGGAACTGATGATGAGTTTCAGGCCATCACGGCTGCCATGCAGATGATGGGAAACAAACCTGGGTCCCCTGCAGAAGCAGCAACTGCTGAGCCATCTCTCCAGCTCCCCTATTTCTATCTACTTGAATTAACCCAGAAACCACTAACACAGAGATAACTGGACCCATACCCACCAAAACAATTAAACAACACATTCTAATTAACAAATTTCTCAAAAGAAATATACTTTTAAAAAATGGAAGCAGCAGAAAAAAAATGGAAGCAGCAATCTATGAAATTGAAAACAGGGAATCAACAAACTCCAAATTTGGCTCTTTAAAAAGATTAATAACACTAATTAACATGGAGTCAAGTTAACTAATAAGAAGAGAAGACACAAATACTAATAGTAGAAATGAATGCTGGTCACATAGATATTAGAAAGATTTCAAAGGAATATTACAGACACTGTCTTAGTTAGGATTTTATTGCTGTGAAGAGACACCATGACCAGGGCAACTCTTATAAAGGAAAACATTTCACTGGGGCTGGCTTACAGTTTAGAAGTTTAGTCTTCATGGCGGAAAGCATGGCGATGTGCAGGCAGACATGATGCTGGAGAAGGAGCTGAGTTCTCCATCTAGATCCTCAGGCAGCAAAGAGAATGTCTTGGAAGATCTGGCTTAAGCAAAGCCCACCCCCTCTTGACGCACTTCCTTCAACAAAGCCACACCCACTCCAGCAAGGCCACACCTTCTAATAGTGCTGCTCCCTATGAGCCTGTGGGGCACATTTTTATTCAAACCAACCACCAAAGACACTGAATCCATAATAATGTCCTTTCAAAACACAGAGCTTACAGAGCCTTGGTACATTGAATGGCAAATTCTACCAAGCTTTAAAAGAAGAAATGGTAGCAAATTCTGTGAAATTTCTTCTAGAAAATAGATTAACTGTAAATGAGGTTAAGCATTCATTGCCAGGGCACAAAAAAGAAAACATTATTGTTCTGGTGGAAGCTCCACCTCAGCCCCTGGTACCCATATACCCAAAGAAACTGGGATGTTCTGGCAGATGCTTCACCTCA